GATTCGGTTTAAGTGACTCAGAGAAGACAGTAGCGTTAATAAGTAAATTAATTGATAGCCAAGAATTTGATTAAAAATTTACGTAAAAGATACGTAAAAAATAGCTGAATGAAGACTACTCGAAACGTCTGAGCGTTATCCGAAATGCGATAAACGGAAAAATTTCTCACACGATTCATTGACCGTAGGATCTTTTTTACGATTTAACGTTTCTATGAGTAAAGCACTTATCGCGCGATCATTTCATTGCTTATGTAGTAACGCGCGATGGCGCCACTAACCGATCCGATTATTTAACGGAATCACTCGCAGAGGAAGCTAAACAATCGAATTATTTATAAACAAACGGCACACGTCACAATGCTAAATACGTAGTACAGAAAGTGATCGTGTTAACTATCTATCGTGTTAACTAAGACGCAAGCAAAAACTGCTCCAAAAAATGACACTATCAAAGTCGTCATCGAAGGTTATCGCCACGGTCGAATACTAAATTGGTTATTTCTCAATCATTTAATATAACTTCGACTATGTATTGCATCGTACTTTAAGTAACCACGTAGATAGAAAATTTAATCGATCTTGTCAATGAAAAATGTCGATGCACTAACATCGACAGAATTAAATTCGTCGGGATTCGATTGTTCCGAACATTGAACGGCAACACGCGTGCCAAATACTTGAAAATAAAAAAAAACCTTGATCGTTCGCCGAAAATATCACTAAAGGTTATCGCGCCCCGATGAAAATGAAATGCTGCCGTCGAGCGAGTTAAAGTTTAGTAGAAAACCAAGAATCGTTAACGAAACGAATGACAGTCGCGATCCTCCGTGTTAATCGTTCATTCATGGCACAGACAATTGTGTTTCGATTACTTATATCTATTACCTATCAGTGAGTTTCGTTGGATATAGAACGCGAACGTTACAACTAATTTGGTTGTGGTTGCAGCCGTAGAACGATGCGATTATGGAACGCGATACTCCTATTGCTCCTGATTCGCGTAGTTCTCGCCAGCAGTTGGTCCTTCGCAAATATCATTTCGTCCATTTGGACTGTAACGAATTCCAGTAAAAGATTACCTTCCGCTACAAGCTATAAGGAAAGGAAAAATGTAAATTTCACAGCCGGTGACGTAACGATTCTAGATACGATAATAGAAGCTCCTCCTCGAAAGAAGATTTGCCCGGCACAAGAAAGATTGGATCGACGTGGAATATGCAGGAAGGTTTGGTAAAGCAAGTTTAGAGGGAACAACACGTTAACGATGAAACTTATTGTATGGAATTACCAAATTATCTTTTCTCGATGATCGACAAGTTGGTACATCGATCGAGAAACTTTGGAACGAGGCCTGTCTTGATTCCAGAAACTAATACGTTGGGTATCACGCGATAACAGTTTGTTGTTACCATCGATACTTACAGTACTGATAAGACAGTGTTTTACACAAGACCCGGAGAGTCACAGTTTCTTTGCTATCGACGAGTTTTCCAACTTCGTATTTATATTCGAACGCGAAGGTCGAGTCAGCGAGATCTGGAAATCCAACCAGTGTAAATGAGTAATGCGAATAGTGTCACGCAGTGGAAATGCAACGACGATAAAGCTCGTGTCACCACGTCACCGAAAAGTTGTAAAAATTTTTGCTAATATTATTATCGCGGTATTATCGTGATTCAGTCTTCAAAACTTCGTCGTCAATACACTTCGCGACTTTGCTCGCAATAAATTGTATGAGCAACTTTTGTCTCGAATCTACTGTTGTTACCGTGTCAATTGCAGTATTAACATTTTAGTAGATTCAGCAAAACATTAGAAACGAAGTCGAGTCTTTCATCGTTTTCAAGATGAGACTCCTGTGGATTGTACTGACGACAGCATTCGTCTTGTTTTTGTCCTTGCACGTCGCAGATACAGTAACACCGAATATATCGAACGTAGAAAAGAAGTTCGTGCCATTCCAGAGCAACAACAAAAGCGTTCAAACTGGATCCTTCATCAACGTCCCGATTAATTGTCCACCGGACAGAGTGAAAATTGGGAATCGTTGTAGGGCTATCTTTTAAGTGAGTAGAAATTCTACCTGACAAGGATGCTTTGAAAAACAGAAATGGGGAAATCATCTGTTTAAGCAATCTTGTATAAAAAATATATATAGAATTGTAGAACTATGGAATTGCAGAATTGTAGAACTATGAAACTGCAGAATTGTAGAACTATGGAACTATAGAATTATAAAATTATGGAATTGTAGAATTGTAGAATTGTAGAATTGTGGAATTGTAGAATTGTAGAACTCATTGTCAGTTATAGAATTATCAAACATAAATTTATGAAATTACGTGACGAAATATTGATAGCTCCGATAGTTTCATAGAAGCGTAGTTTCTGTTCAAAATTCGAATTAATTCTAGATGCCACATTCGTAATAAAAAATCATTTCCATTAATCTATATCGAGGTTTCTAATCATTTCTTCGTAATGAACACTTCGTGACAAAAAATTCCCAAGTCGTCTAAATCCTTACTAAAATCCTACAGGATTCTTCTTTTCTGAACGCAACGTCGGTAAGGAAGTGCATGCAACACAAGTGGATTATCTAACGAGCAAAGCGGCAATTCGAACGAACAAGTCAAAAAATTTCTAAATTAAAATAGAAATACAAGAAGAACCAAGTAAAAAACATTGATACGATGCAGATATAGACTCGGCCTCGAAAGATTGGAATTATCAATTTCTGCGAGATTAAGAGGAAGGAAACCGCTTTATCGCTTGTTCGTAATTCGATTAGAATTTCCATGAATAAATCGAAAGGTTAAAAACTATGCAGAACGACATTTTTATATTATTTTATATCAAGCGTATATCTCAATTATATTAAATCAATCATTTATAAATATATAAATCATCAAATATATAAATTTATAATATATAAATCATTCGCGTCAGTAGGACATTGGAATCTGACTTAACACATAGAGATAAATAATCTGCACAAGGTAAAATACCTTTCACGTGAATTCCAATTTCTTGTATGCTACAATTTGTGAAATATGTATTTACATACAAATTACGAACTAGAATACGTTTTGTAATTTACTTATAAAATTTCATCTAATTGTTATAGATATATACTTAAACATCAATAGAGAACAACCTATTAGAAATAATTTTAGGCTCGAAATGCCAGAATTCATTCCTTTGTTAAATTACCAAAAGCGAATAAACTCAATAATATACATATGAGTAACACAACTATGACGTCTAAAAAATTTGCCTACTACGTACCTACTAATAATTAATTTATGGTATCGTTAAATTATCATGCGTAATTATCAAGTGGAAACCGCAATGTGCGTAATCAGGATATGAATTGTAACCGCAAATTAGTATGAATAAAACGAAAAAGAGAAGGGGAATTACACAGAAAGCAATATATTACACATATTTTCATTGCCTCGTATTTCAGTATCCGATTTCTGTCTCGACAATAGCTTGGTGAATAAACTAGGATCTGAAGGACCCAACGAGTTCTTAAAAACAGTCCTATCGAAATTGTTTGTATTTTCTGCATACGTGATGGCTCCATTACGTTTCATTATCTTTGTTCTTCTTCTGTCTGCTTTCATCGTTGCAAACGAATCCAGGCCTCTTACTTTCCCAGAAAGAAGACGATGTCCACCAGGATACAGATACATTCGTAACGTGGGATGCAGAAAAATGTTAGACATTTTTAGAAGGTAAGTTATTAAAGATCAATCTCGAAAATTATAAAATTTCTTTCGATACCTGGTGCAATTGTATATTATTTTTTCCATGTGTTCCAGTTGAGTCTAGATAAGAAGTTCTTCCACAGTTTTTAAACGACTAATTGGACTCGTTCGGACCATCAAGGATTAATGGCATATCTATATTCTTTATCAAATATTGCAAAATGTATAGCCAGTTACTCTTTTGCGACTGTACACGTTTATGATTCACAAATATAAAGTAAATAACAATTTACTGACGCATAGTTTATGTCATGGTTTTTTTTTTCCAATCATTATTTGTCAACGTAAGATAGATAACTCGATCGAATTGAATTTATGTACTTTTAAACAGACCGCGATCTTGATACGCACGCGATAATCGATCTATCGCAAACTTTGTTGCTGGGAAAATGGCTGCTCCCTTTGGCTTGCATTCTCAATAATAAAATCGGTCTTTAGTTTTTTCTTAACAGTAACATTAACTCTAAACGAGATAAAACCCGCATAAAATTCTACATAACGTGTTTAGGATAACAGTATTGCAATTTATTTATAGTTCTATCGTTAAAATATAGCGTGACTGGCACATAACCTATTTTCTATCTTCGATTATCAAAGATTAATGTAAAAAAACATTGGAAATTTCGAATCTCGACAAAACAAATACGATATATCGCGTTTTCAAATTAAGCTGCAATTATTAATAAACAAAAAACAATTGCTAGCATATAACTATACTGTGATTACACTTACACATTCAACGTCAGCACATTGTACTTCTACTTAAATAAATTAGCACCTTGAATAATCGCGTTATCAAGGGCAATCTCGGAATAGTTTCATCTCGCATGCAAATTCATCACCTACGACGCATATTAGCCCCGTAATCGTGAAAATTTGACTGAGTAACACGTAGACTTAACAATGTCTACGTTGAGCATATCAGAACAGTTAGCAACGTTGCACAAGTTTGTTATTAACGACACTATGAATCGATGATCGTAACAATATTATGACTTAATGACTCAATAAGACAAAATATTAAGCAGATATTTAAAAAAAAGATTTAGCTGCCCGACCAGATAACTCCGTGTTCATAAACAGTATCATCCTGATAACGATCGGTAATTACCGCAAACAAAAATGATACTATTGCTACGGTGTTACAGCGAAATCGTGTGATCCGTGCTCCGTATGTGTGAGAATACGCGCGTATGCATTAGCGTGTGTGTAGCCAGAAATACGCGCCGAGCGTACTCGCTTCGGCAGTCGATCGCGGCGCGAGCATACGAACCTGTTCAGGTGTAACTTCCTCGCGTTTTCCTCGTGCATCGCAAACAGCGATTTGAGTGCAATGCAAACAGCGAGACCGAGCGTCACGTAAACACGTGCAACTATTATTTTTCGTAATTAAAATCAGTCGTCGCCGATACATCTGAACGCGTCAAGTTCGCGTCAACAAAGAACGAATTTTATGGTTCAAAGACAATTATCCTCGCATTTTTTTTTGTGGTGAACACGCGGAGTAAAACGACTGAAAATAGCAAAAATGTCGCAGTTAATCAGATACAGAACGCTCGTTCTTGTGATTTTTTGTGGATCGGTGATGTCCCATAAGGGTGACATATTATTTCCTGACCAGATAAGTCCAAGACAGTCAAAGCCTCCGGTCGAACCAAGAACAGCAGAAAACACCGCATTGTTATTGGTAAAATCAATCACATATTTTATCGAAGAGATTCGAAAGCGTTACATGTATTTCGTATTTCACGAGTGGAACGCAAAGAGACTGTTCACGAGCCGCGTTGCAACACTCCCACGTTTTCACTTCGATAAATAGCGCAATTATGTTATCCCGCGGAGCATTGTGAAGAACGTACGTAGCGAACGTTTAAAAATTAATTTGATCGTTTCGTGTGCAAAAGGCACTGGGTCGTAAACTGGCACAGGTCGTATTTTTTATCGTCGTATTTTTACGCGAATATATATATTGGTCGTTCGAACCGTTAACATTTAGCAACGCCATTAATCTTTATGAATAATGATCTTATATTTATGAATATATATACTTCTGAAATTGATCGATCAACGGAATGTTTTTACTACGAATTTAACATGAAAATCGTAATACACGATGATTATCGAAAAAATATATGCAACACATGTTATCAATTGTAGTGAATTGTGCGGAAGTCAGTCATCCGTTTCGGTTTTGCTACCGTATCGTTTCCTATTTTTCCATTATCTTCACCGTACACTCGTTAACTTAAGTAACAGTATGAAAAACGGTTGACAGTTCCTTCTGTCGACGATAGGCATTGATATTACGACATCCTTGCGAACGAGAGCACGATTGCTTTTCCCGCAAAGATCTGAATGACGTCGAAGGCCGTATAACACTAATGTCAAGGATGTACGGTGGTATAGAAGCAGGTATGAAGGTAGAAGATCGAGATTGAAAAGTAAAAAACCTCGCGGTGCACGCTTAGGATTCCTGTCACGTTGTCGGTGAATCGATATATAGATAATTGATTACACGTCATTCGACGTTCGAGCGAATACCTAGCCGATTACTTTGCGAAACACGGTTAATTTTATCAGGGAGAGTTGATAAAATTCGTCCTTTGAAGAACGAAACAAAATTAAGAAGTAAAACAAACAAACACAAAATTAAAAAGTTTCCAAACGATCCGTATTTATGTACAGTTTTACTGACTAATGTGACCCTCATTCCTCTGAAACCAAAGAGAAATTTAGGTTACGATTTGAAAAACATATACACAGCAATGCTATGGTTGCAAGGTGAAATCTATTCCCCCAAAAGGTCGTCATAAATATCATTTCGCGAAGATAATATTTGTTTGGTCACGACGCCATCACCGTATGTGTACAACGCATATTTCACCGCTACAATAGGGTTATACGACCGAGTTTAACGCCAGGTGTAATAGTCGATCTTTAAAAGTCGCGGTAAAATTCCTGTAAAGCGCCAAGAGACAGAGCTTCTTGGAAAGTACAATGTCTTGGATTTCTCAGCTATGCAAATCGCGAAATACGTAATCTGTTTATTAAAATGCTGGTCGTACCGTTACCGATTTTCTTCGCACCTGTGGAAATATTCAAGTTAACGTGTCAGATCGGTGACAATTCATCGATATACGTGAAATAACTATAGTACGAAATACATATACACGGTAAATTGTTGACTGGTCATGTCACCTCTGAAAAATTCGAAAAGAAACGAATGAATCGCATCTATCGAGGCAGAACGTTAACGCCAAAGATGCTTCTGAGAAATCGGTTCAACGTTTTGCGGAGTTTTTAGTGTGCACACGATAGTAGCTTGTTCAAAACCAGTTTTAGGTGGAAAGGCGAACGTCTGGTTGAAAAACGACTCGACATGCCAAAGTTGGGAGTCTCATACCAGTGACCAAGACGTAAAAAATGCTTTTTAACAACATTCTAAATATAGCCGCGGCGAAGGAGTAATCTTTTTTATAGTTTCCCGGATGATTGACCTAAAATAATTCTGTACCTCTCATGATTACCTTAGTCGCACGAGTATACACAATCGAATTCGATGATTCATCGATTAGCCATTAGCGGGAATATCCCGATTATTACATCGAGATTCCACCGTTCGTACATTTTCTTCGAGACTAGGGTATTTCCAAACAAATATCGTGTCCCTTTAGATTATTTTAATAGCACGAACGGTAGCATAGCAACTCTTATTTTTCGATATCATATGACCCATATTAGAGATCTTAACGCATTGCTCAGAATATGATACGTCAGTACATGATACGCGCATAACTGTTATCTAACCAATGTTCTTTTCAATTCTTCATTGCTTAATATGCATGACAAAACATTGGAATTCCTGATTAGAATCAGGTGGCTGATTAACATGCCTTTTCTTCTTAAAATTGGTTGCGTGTAACGAACGTGTATCTAATAAAATGGAAGAATGACTAAGTTTTTCCAGGAAAACAGCTACCTGTTTTTTGGTTCATCTTGCACAATTCAATTAATAGTATTAATGATATTTTGCAAATCTCAGGTTACGAATTATTAGTACTAATCAATTTTCTTACTTTATAATAACAAATATGACAATGTAACAAACGAAATTTTACAAATAAGATTGTGAAAGAAACATTTACGATTTACAACTTGTTAGTTCATTAATATTATTAATTAATACATTATTGCGCAACAGCTCTTTCTTAATCAGGGCTTTATTGGCAATAGCATTGTATCATTTTACCATTATCAGTTGTGGTATTGACTAATCGAGATAACGAAAAAAAGATAATCTCGAAACAAATAGAGAACGTAAAAATTTCTCCACAAATTATGTTTTTTCTTTCGTAAAGAAAATGTTCTATTCCTTTCAGCGGTCGCAGTCATCGGAAACAGTCAGGAAAATCAATTCGCCAGAAGAGTTCCTTCGAATGATCGGTGTATCGCCGTCACAAGTCTTCCTTACTAGTAAGTGTTTACGTTCTTAAATAGATTAATATCGTTCATTATGAATGTTACTTTAGAGGAAAATTTTTACTCGGTAATATTGAAAGGAAAAAATATCCGTAACGTAGACACGATACTACTATAACGATGCAATATAGTAAGAAATTACAGCAGGTAAATTGGCTATAACTGCAACAAATATTGTCTGTTTAGATAAACGCGTTCACCTGAGTGTTATCTTCTAGTGATTACATTGTATAAACAACCTCGACTATCAGTGAACATGAGAGCATTCAGTTGACCGCAGTACAAAAAAACGTACTTAACATAAAAGTCTTATAAGCGTATACTCTGCAAGTAAAATTACGTATACTTGCAGATATTCGACTTGAAATTTCGTTCTTCTATCTAAATTCGTGCAATACCGAATCGTCTTACGTGTTCACTATTCTGATATAAATATTATTAGATAAATCTTAAAACAAACTTCTTCTTATTCCTGTGGTTACGATCGTCTACACTAATAACGGTCTGTTAAAGACAAGGAGAGTGGCAATAATGGCATACAAGGATCTTTCGTTGCCATTTCCATTTCCAAGTTTTCCAGGAAGCCTTCATGGTCCTCAAAGAAATCAAAAACCTTCAAAAAGCAATCGAAATCGTTCATGTTAGGTACCTATCTACTAGTAATTTCATTGATTTCTTGTAAACTGGGTGGTAGTTTTCACTTTAGACTGTTCGAATCGTATCCGTAACATTTTTAGTTTTATACGGTTGTTCCAAGGTTGAGTTATCGAGCGGAATGATATACGCAATCTGCAATTTACATGGTCGCCTTTTAAATGCGAAAATTAGACGTGACCAAGATCTACGCGTAAGATTAAACCGCTTAAATGTAACGAAATAAAAACTTGAGTCGTGCAAAAAGGTATGATTATATGAAGATGGTCTTAAAATGAAACGATAATCTTCATTACTGTTTGTCCATTATTTTATGTGAACACGATCATAAAAATCGAACAATAATTCTCGTTATTGCACAAGAAAAAATAAACGAAAAGTATTAATCCTTATCTTATTTCGAAAAAATTTCGCGAAAATTCTATTTCGTCGTTTGCTTGTACGTACTTAACTTCAACGACATCGTGTCCATCTTCTCGACTACACTCTCTCTTGATGGTTGGTGCAATTTCCTCTTCCAATTTTATCCTATTAATGCTTTACTCGATCTCTTCTATGTCGACGACGACATCTCGAGCTTGAAAAGATTACAAAGATCACCCTCGCTTAAGTCGTAAGATGTGTCGTCCATTACGCTAATTTCCTTCGCATGGATTTCATTCTGATTACAGTCTCTTATGACGTTACACGTTGATGACATTTCCGTCTCTTGAAAGAACTTAGGCTTATAGATTGCCTCATTATGACTACTGGTGAAATTACTATCATCTTTTGCCCATTTTTGGTACTTCCCATGGTGATACAAGCAAAATATATTTCCACGTAAAGATCTTAATTTTAATCTGCTTTAATGTTGTAAAATCCTTTTCCAACATTAACATTCTTCCTCCTCCTTCTTTTTGTAACTGCAGTTGACATATCAGCGATCGATATCGTATTCGAAAAAATACATAGAATTCGTATTATAAGCTTCCATAAAGGCAGACACGTTTATTCTACCTTGCGAATCAACCTGCCGAACCAATCGGAGACCACATCCTTCAACAGGTGACTTTCTAAATCGCAAGAAAGATCATCGACCAAAACGAGATAACTATTGAAATAGATAGTTCGAATGAAAAATAGTTAAAGCGAGTGAAATAGTTTGCGCGTGTTCCTCCATTTTTAAATTGTGTAATAAGGTGTGACGAGTTCTACGCTAGAAAATGTCCAAGTAGCTACTTTTTACGTCAAACCACAGAAACCACACTGAACTGGATATAACAGGAATTTAGAGAAAACGAAGGAAAATCCTCTGATTAACTCAGGATCAGAATCGCGATCCGACCTTTTGCTTAACAGTCTAATACCTTCTATTCTAGGCAGAATGGGTGAACCTGAAGAACGCTCGAATAGTGAAATGGCAAAGCAAGCTAACTGTGAGCCTTCACCAACCGTAGTTCCTACATATCAACGTAACGATCCATCTATCGTCTATTTTCCCCGGTGTACACGAGTCAAAAGATGCACAGGTTGTTGCGGAAACGAGTTACTCTCTTGTCAGCCAAAGGAAATAGAAACCCGAAATTTTGAAGTAAGACAACTCGATAAATATATAATTACAGATAAACAATAATGTTCGAAATAATTACATATTACGAATGTTTGAAGATCATGCTGGCAAAATTGACAGCGCAAGGTAGATTCGAGTACCAAGGCAAACAAGTCGTACCAATAGATGAGCACATCAGATGCGGATGTGACTGCGTAATAAAACCATCGGTAATTTGAGAATAGCCAATAATTGAGATCTTCCTCCTTAAACTAGTACAATCCGCTCAACACCTCAACAATCCGTGATAACTTTAACGTTATAATTTTCATTACACTTTCATCATACACGCCGAATGCATTTATACGTTAGAGAGCTAAAGAATATTAAATTCAAAATTTAAGAAAGATAGAATCTAGATTATTTTATTTGATAAACTTTTTTCAGGATTGTACGCCCAAACAGGTTTATAAGGAGAACTTATGTAGATGCGTGTGCAGCAACACGGACGATCGAGCGAAATGTATTGAACACCCAGATAAAATCTGGGATTCGATATATTGTAGCTGTTCTTGTAGAAACGCACATGAATGTTCGACCGGCTTCTTTTACAACCAGAATACGTGCAGGTGTGAACGTTCTCCAGTAGAACAACGGAAATAAGAGCACACTATCCTCACTGTTCTCTACTGTTCTATATATCTTGTAAGCTGCGCGCGTTACATTAAATGTTTTTTGGAATTTCTTTCTTTTTTTTTTTTTTAATAACTTTATTTTTCTGCTTCATTCGCAAGAACTAATGCTTACCCTCATAGCTATCTTCTTTAATACTTTTATGCGACCACTACACATTTGACTGCTACTTTGTGTTAAATCAATCATTGCATTGACGAGAATCTACTGTGTTTCCACCCTGCGCTTGCTTTTATACGTTACAAGAGAGGTAATTAAACTATTACTTCAGCTGAATCAATTGAAATAAAATATTATTTTCTTCTAATGAATGAATTCATCAATGCACATTGTGTGTTTATTAACAGCATGCAAATAATTTTTTTTATAAAGAAGCAAGTTGAAGGCTCAAACATAATGTCAAACTTTTAATACTCAAAAATATTTCAGATGTGAGCAATTACCGATATCTAGATCCTGGTTTACATCTACGAAAGGGACTGATTATAGATTTGGGCAAACACAAAAACCAGATGAACCACCAGTAATAATTCCTCTAGATGCAAATGATCCTAGGAGGAAACCTAAACCAGATCCAGAATAGAAGTCTTCCATTTATAAACTAAATGTGAATCATAAGACTTTTATAAGACAGCTATTTTAATAGCATTTATTTAAGTTAATTTTTCACCTTTGTGCCATTTTGCTACACACACACACATACACGCACATACAATATATAATTACAGTATTTACATAATATGTATTATTAATCCATTCTTGTAAGGTATAAATGAATGTACCCTTAAAATTAAAACGCACTGTGATATAAACAAATATAATTATTTAATGCATAAGTGTACTAGCTACACTGTTTAGCATCAATTAGCAAAAGGTATTTTATTTATATATCTTTTATATATTGTCATTTTAAAAAGTTATACAATTATTGCGACCTATCCTATCTTGATCTTATTCGAATACTGCCACTTTCGATCGTTTTGTAGATATATAAAATCGCTGTTTTATTAACTTTTAAAGAAGTTCTGCATCTTTCAAATTGAATTGTTCATCAACGTCCTAATGTTCGCCGGGCAGAATGAGAATCAAAAATCGTTGCAAAATTTATTTATATATAGGACTTATGTACAATTTTGTATATTGTAAGCTAAACTTCAAGAAATATAAATTGAATTTTTCAGCTATAAATGTTTCGCATAGTACAATCACAATCGCAGTCAATCAATCAAGATTGTATTATTGTCATGTAATTACTGTATTATTGTCACATTATCATGTAATTAATAATTCTATATATGAAATAATACTGATTGCCTACGTCTCAACGCGTGTAGGTTTACTGCAAATGGAAGCCCTTCCCATCCACGATCCTTTTATGCAAAAATATATTAATTCTGCATTTAAAAAGTAGAACACCTCTTTTTATTGGTCCTAAAGCAATTCCTGAAACAATCTTCAAAATAATTTAAACGAAGACGAAGATTATTTGCAAACCCTACCTATAGAAATCTGAAGGCTTTTCTATAAGTCCTGTCTACATAAAAATTTAAGGATCTATGTGGGAAACATATACAAAAGTCTAAACGTTACAAAGAGGAAGGATGGAAAACTACATAGGACATTATATGTGATACGAGTCTTCTTTTGCCAATCTTACAATGAATCCTGAAATAAACTCAAACAGAAAAAATTTGGTAAAATTCTATGAGGCTATCTATGTGTATGTAATTAATTACCAAATGAAGAGAAAAATTATTTGAGATGCTATTAAAAGATACTCATAGTAAAACAATATTCATTACTGACGAACGAACATATTTTAGCAGTATTTTCATTAACAAACACTATGATAATTCGGGGTGTGTTGAAGAAGAGAACGAATCAGTGGCCAACATGGCCATCAGAATACGATCAACAGACACTCGATATAATCCCAAGCAACAGGCTATGAGTGGATTACCTTTTCTTTCTCGCGACTCTAATTCAGTAAAGCTAAATGTAAAATCGAAAATTCTCAATATAAATTACAAAGAGTGCTTCATATAATATTTGCAAGTATTAATATAATTAACCACTAAAAGTAAAAAAAATAAACAAAAAAAAAATTAAAAAACTCTCAAAAGCAAAAGTAGGATGTCTTAGTTATACATATTGATGTATGCACTCGTATTTAAATATTCATAACGTTAATAACGAGTGTAATGCTGCATCAGATGATTCAGAAGAAACTGTTCTTTCACAATCTAGTGAAAGAAAATTGGGCTTGATATAGGCGCAACACTACTTCAAAAACCGCGATCATTCGTCAACGCAACTCTAACTAAAGAACTAATTAAAACAATCGCGATGAAAGACCGCAACACTAATTCTTAAAACAAATTTAATAAAAATTATTACATATTATTATATATGAAAAGAAAGCTACTTCAAATACATATTACGATAGAAATTGTAATACTATAAAAGTAATGAAATTTGAACATTTCTAAATGTAATTTTAAACAAGGGGGAACAAAATTAACTCTAATACGTATATTATTCTTTAGAAAATTCTATGAATTCATAATCAAAATTGCAAAAGACAATCGCGATGTCATAATTCGCAACACTAAAGCAAACACGAATATCATTTTTTCGCAACTCTAATTCAACCCGTAATGAGTCTCTCGCAACGCTAATAAAAAACCGCAAAACTTTTATGATTTATCTCTCGTAACACTTATAAAAAAACGCGACTTGCCCAATATGGTGATGGGCCGACATATACATCGGCTTAAAAAATGGAAAAGAAATACTACGAAAATACTACAAACGAGCATAGTGACAAAGTAGTAACGAGAATGATTTTCCATGTCCTGGATGATCCAGAGGATGGAAAAACATTAGTAGTTGCCCTCTTCCATGGCAAATTTGCCGGGCCTCTTCGGCTCGTAGCCTCTTCTTTCTTCGGGTGAATATATTCACTTATAAAAGTGAAATAAAAAAATATATCGTGGAAGCTGGACGACTAAGGATCGTAATGATCGTTGATCGCTCGCATGTGCGTGCTCGATCAATAGATAAACGTTCGTTTCGAAACCTACTCCCTACTCGCGTCCACGTCCGCGAAATTCGAAAAATCGATAGACAAAGCCAGAGACAAATGGAATGCGCCATTCGTGGTACCAGCTTCACTATCGTTTTTTCAAATCAAATTTCCTGAAACAGGTTGGACACGCGAAAACGCGCCTACCCGATCACAGACTGTGCCAACCTGCCCGGCCCTACCTACTTATAATTAATACACACACATACCAGACAGTATGCTACCTATCCTACCTAGCCCTATATTTAAAAAATTGCAAAACAAGCACACCAACACATTCGCTCCACGGTTCTCACACATAACTCGAGCGCAAAAGCCTACACTAGAGAGACGTCCCGGGACGCCTCCGACACTCGAGTTCCACACAACTTTCACACTCTAATTTACATACCATTTTCCTGAAATCGACTGACGATGGCTAGCGACCATTGCGTAAAATATGGTAAAGATACGTGTAGGATATTATATATCGAATATTGTTAATGTTAATTAGTATTCATGATCGTGTTATATAAGCATTCTTAATCTTTGACATGTTATGTCATTTGGAGAAATTGAGAGATATGGTTGAAATAAGTGGTAATTTGATGCCGTTGTAATTGAATATTACTGTTTATTATATGTTATATTTAATAGCATATCTAAATATTTTCATTGTATATTGTAAAATTAAAGTTACAATGGTTGGATTCATAAGAACGACGACGCAATTCCACAGCCTAACCACACACACAATGTAGAAAATACGTCGGGCACGATACGCTAACGCAATGTCAGTCGCTGAGAAATTGTTCAGCTTATAAAGTATCCTCATCATGCCCATTGCCTTTCTCCCACCCAAGTAGCACCTGGGCACGTGAGTGAGGTTTTGGCAATGAACATGGAATGGGTTAAACCTGAAAATCCTGAGCTAAAATTATGATCAGAGTATCTATTTGGTATAGTTTGTATCTAACGGGCTAATATTCTTTGATTTTTCATTTCCATTTTATTTCCAGTTTTAATGACTCTATACTTTACTTTGTTAATTTAGCAAATTACTAAAATGCTAAACTTGAATGAAAGAAATTAATAAAGAACGTATCTATTAAAAAACAAGTTAGGATTGAATACAAATATATACTATTAAATTCAATGAATAATAGTGAACTCTAAGTGAAATGTCTGTGAAGTTTCTGTCGCGAAGTGTTTTCTTGCACATGAAAACTGATGCATTCTTAGACAGACTGAACGTTTATATCTTCATATTTCAATTTCAAATTCTATTGAAATTATACTGAATATGGAACTCGAATAATAAAGTTGTTCAATACTATTATAAAATGGAAGATAAGTATTGCCACTAACATTATTATAATAATTATTATAATGATTTCTATCATTATCGTAATTTTCACAGTGACAAAATCGGAGAGTATCCGATTTCTTCATACAAATACATGCTCATATAAATATTTAATCTTTTCAATCACAGATACATATATCAATTGTCAACATTACGTTATCCATACTAGTTCTTTGTTATTCACAATGTATTGTTATCAAAATTCAAAAACGCGACGTGCAAGAAAACCTATCCTAAACTAATAAATAGATATAGACAAGAAAATGTTACTACTCGCGGATATAATAAATATCCGCGGTCACTATGCTCGCAAAAAATTCTACGTAATACAACTAGTCACCCGTGTCGATTCGGACCATTCATTCTACGACATGATTGAGTGACTGGAGGAACAAAAGTGCATGCGACTCACCATTAAACGGGGAGAACGTTGCACTGGGTCAGCGGAAGTCAAGTCTATCATCAAGCAATCTAGTCTAGCGTCAAACACATGGCAAAAATAGAGGCTGCGAACAATCTGTTACAAAGTATAAAATATTATAATTTGCTCTTAAAGGCACAGAGTTAATTGTTTGAGAAATTTGAGCTAATAAAAGATTGCTATTCATTAAACTTGAAATATTAATATAAAGATTGGATCTCTAATAATTTTTTAATCATATCAGACATATATTTTCATCTTATAATTATTATTTATTATTATAATTATTATTGAAACTTTAGATTATTCTACATTTTACTTCATTGGAAAGAAAATTATAGAAAATAAAATTAATTCAAGCACAGTGTGTAAAATTACTTACATTCTTAGCTTTTGTAGCACAGTGAGATCCTCCTTAAAGAATAGAAGGAAATGAGAGTTGTAAAAAATCTGTAAAACATAACATGAAACATTACAATTTGTTCTTAAAAACAGAGTGCTGATTATTTAAACAATTTGGAAAGAATGAAAGATGAAAGTTTACTTATAATAAAGTTTGAAATTCTAATAAACTTTAACAAGTATAAAAATTGAAACTAATGTAAAATTTTAGAACTTAAAAATTAAAAATCTAATGATTTCTGAAGCATGTCAGACATTTGTATCTTATAACTCAATATTAGGACTTTGACATCTTTTTTATTTCAATAGAAGAATAGGAATCCTAATCTCCCAAATTTTCTTAATTAGTAGTATTTGAAGCAAAATATACAAACTAGAGTTAATTTAACTATAAAGTAAAGATATATACTTACATTTTTGGCTACTGAGCCATCGTCAGACCTTCCTCAAGGAACAGGAAGAAGTTGAGGCTTTGAGATATCTGTAACAGTACATAAAATATTAAGATTTGTTTTTGGAGGCATATTTTGTTGATTATTTAAAATATCTGAGATAATAAAAGATGAAAGTTCTTAAATTTGAGACTTTAGCAATAATGAAACTGATAATTCAATAAATTTTAGTATAAGTATGAGAATTGGAACTGAAATATAAAAGTTTGAAATCTGAAAATTTAGAATTCAATGATTTCTGATGAACGTCAGACGTTTCTATTTTATAATTGATTGTTAACGCTTTTAAACTTCTCATTTCAGTAGAAAAGAATTTATAATTTTTCACATTATCAAATATTTTCACTTCTTAACCAACAATAGTTCAAATAAAATACAACAAAATTGAATAAATTGAAATGCAATATACAAATATATATACTAACATTCTTGAGCTTTTGGAGAGGCTTTATCCTCTTGAAGGATGCACTGACTCTAATAACGAAAACATATATTTAAAAAAACATATATAAAAAAGAAAAAAATAAAAGACTGCGTTAACGCGAACGTGTTGCGAATTTACTTAATAATATCTTACTGTGTGACTTCACATGCGATTGTTTAATTGAATTTAATCAAAGCTATCACGATTTGAAAATATTGAAATAAATTATTGCACAACAAACACTGACTCTATCAACCGCATTGCGCGCGGTTACAAATATTCTCTGAAAAGAAAATTAATTAGTTGGCGGAGAGATTTTCTATCGAGCGTTTGTTTAAAAAATACTGCTATCTTTCTACAGTTAAGAAATGATTATTAAGAAATTGGAATATATATTACAGTTATTAGTTGCAAATTACAAAATATTTCTCAACATTGAAGAATGTCTGTGAATACCGTGAACGTGATACAATAATAATTTATAAAAATTATCATGTAATTGTTCGTTAATAGAGCATAAAACTCACTCCACTAATATTCTATGTGGTTTGTTACAAATATCCCAAAATGTTTGCAAGAAATCAAAATTTCAGAACTAAATACGAGTGAAGAACAACACTACGCAAAAACGCGCGCGAAACCTTAGTTTGAAGCGACTGAGCGTCTAATTGCGCGCCACCTCTGAGAAAAAACTAGAAGCTGCAAACATATATGACATTGACTGTAGCATATTCATCGTAATATAGCAAAATGTGACAGATTTGAATGGTTGAATGTTATAATATTTATCGAAATAATTGAAGCTATTGTGAAACTATTAAGATTTCTACGTTGATCTGTCTACATGAGGCTATTGTTAAACTATCAAGAATTTTACATTTCAGAATACAGAATAAATTGAAACAATAAAATGATTCATTTAATCCGTTTGAAATAAGAAAATGATTACATATATTCCAATTAAAATGATTTATTTAACCTTTCTTATATTCATCTTAATATTTCAAATAATTAAGACATTATGTATGGTAAATTTATTATATATCGAATATACATATTCAATATATGTATATTGTATGATAAATATGAATTGTATATCAAATGTAATTTAAGTATGAAACTTATATGTACCAAATGTTACCTATGCCTCAACGAAAAGACGATATAATCATTTATATATGTCTATCTTTGTTAAAATAAATTAATTGTTATGACATTTTTATGAAGATTCATTGGATTTACCATTAATCATCGTGGCGTCCATACGTTAATTATTCACATTACTTCGATGTAATTCGGCTCATTTCTGCAATCAACTAATTACCTACACACAAGAAAACCAAAAGTTAAACCTAAAACAAATGTATAAAGTGATGACAAATATATATTCAAATAAAACAATAATCAAATTCCATTACAAAAAGCTTACAATACATGACACCGATAATGTCAGCAATCAAGCAGTGATCGAAGAAAAATCAACACAGAAAATTTCAAAAAAGCTACTTAATTTCGTTATCTTGATGTTCAATGAATTGTTAAATAAACGCGTGTATTAATTGAACAATGTTAATAACGAGATATAAGGATTAATAAGATATAACGCCACCAAAAGGTTAGAATACGTTACAGACATAATACAGCGAGATATGTGTTGCCGCACTGAAATTCGACAGCTAAATGATCTCCTGCTCTCAAGTTTCGCCACGCAATTCCTAATGTGATGGGGAGGGGGGTCTACATTCGTAAACATTGTATGTATTGTGTTGTTTTGGAACATGAGTTGGCATGTTTATACGCATTACTTCTCACAGAGTAACAGAAACTTTTATATATACATACATACGTATTATGAGACCATTATTTACCCGATTAGGTACGACATTCTTAATAAACTTTTGAGATTATTTATTATTAGAATTATATAGTATATAAGAATTGTATAGTATGAGTGAATCTAAGGAATCAATAAATGGAAAGAAAATATTATAATAGAACAAAAATATGATGAAATAGTTGAATTTTTATATAAAGATCAAAGTTCTTTAAGAGCCATTGTAATGATCAATCCAAATATAGATAATATTTAAAAGCTAAAACTAAAACTTTCGACGCGATATATGTACTCAATTCACAATTTTGTTTCGTAATCTCACTTGCCAGAAAAGTCTTCGATTTCGAATTAATAATAAAATTAACAATTTAATATACGTATAAATAAAAAAATGGTATTTCAAATTTTGGTTGATAATGTATAATACTAAACACTAGTTAACCCGTGACAATTCGAAAAAAAGACTGACAAAGTTGGTATAATCTTCAAGATTGGATTTTATTCGAGTTAAAAGAAAACAAAAATTGCATACTTAATGCTAAATAAAAAAACATATTTTAACTCAGATTTGATACTGTACGAGACAAAAACAGTTGTCTTCATAAATCTCTGAGTATTTAAAGAATAAGTTATAATAGCTTAATCACCTGTAACCGTGGCAAATATTGCTGACTTAGATAACATGTTAACTTAAGCAGTATTTTCTAGCGATTGGTTCATTTAAGCTTGATTACTGGTGAACATAAAATCATTCAGTTTATCACAACAGAACAGACATAATATGTGTACTTAAGTACATTGTAAGTGTAAAATTCGCAACTACGTAAACTTACGTATGGACTTATGTAGAAATAAAGAAAAATTATGAAAAATATTTACTAATTATAAAAGTAAAAAAGAAACAGTTTCTTAATCTTTTTCCAAAGATATCATCTGCCTGAAAAAGATTTTTCTAATACTATTTAAGCAGAAAAAGGGATTATTTTTTGCACATCAAGCGCTATACTTCTGCCCCTCTTCAAATTTCATTCTTTTAAAATTGTGCAACACTCGTTCATGTTACATGTATCAATATCCTGATATATTATCAGATGAATCTGATAATTAAAAGCGAACTTTTTTTTGCCTTTACCATTGCGATCATCCATATTGATGGACGGTTTATTAAATACAAGTTTATTTTTAACATACTGAGCAGTGGACAATGGCATACAAGAATCATTAATTGCCATTTCCATTTTCACATTTCCTAGAAAGCCTTTATAATCCTCAAAGAAATCCGCATCCTTCAAAAATCCACCGAACTCATTCGTATTGGGCACTAGTCTACTAGTAATTTCATTAATCTCCTGTAGACTGGGTAGTCTGACTTTAGGCTGTACGAATGGTACCGTGACATTTTTAGTTTCACACGATTGTTCCAAGGTTTGACATTGAGACGAGACGGTATATGCAATTTGCAATTTACATGGCCGCTTCCAAGTGTGAAGAGTAGCTGTAGAGAGACGTGAGATATACGTTTTCCAGGAACCTATGATTCAATGAAACAAGATTAATCCGATTAATTCTAATGAAATGAAAATTCGGATCATGAAAAAAAATCTGAATATTATGCGAAGATAATTATAAAAGTCAAACAATGATTCTCATTACTGTTTGTTGATCATTATTGTAAACCATTATTGTAGAACGAGAAAAAAAATTCTTGCCTAGTTTCCAAAATTTTCGGGAGAATTCTACTTCACCGTTTGTCTCCACATACTTAACTTGAACGATATCGTGTTTATCTCTTCGACTACATTTTCTCTTGATGGTTGGTACCATTTCCTCTTTTAATTTTATTCTATTAATGCTATGCTCGATTTCTTCTATGTCGGTCGATAAGATGTCGAGCTTGAAAAGATTGGAGAGATCATTCTCGCTTAGATTGTAAAACGTGTCGTCCACTGCGCCAATTTCCTTCGTATGGATTTTGTTGTGATTAATGTCTGTTATGACGTCACACGTCGACAATGACCTTTCCATTTTTTGGAGGAACGGCTCGCATATTGTACTATTATCATTGACGAAATTATTATGTCTTGTTTGACATTCTTGCTGTTTTCGATAATGACACGAACAAAGCTTGTTTTTACATAAAAACCTAACGTTAATTAAAGTTTTATTTCTAAAATTAAAATTGTTTCTTCTCATTCCATGAAATCTGTAATTTTCATTTTCACGTATTCTTACCGAGTTAACCTTTCTTTTTCGTAATTGATATCAGTGGTCGATATAATATGTGAGAATATATGCCTTGAATTCAGTTTACGACTTCGCAAGAAGGTAGACACATGTTTCCTGCCTTTGATCAAACTGCCAAACCAATACAGGACCACATCCTCCGAGAGCTGACTTTCTAAACCAGAAACAAGACCATCGACCAAAGCGAAATAACTATTCGCGAATGAAATAGCTTGCGTATGGTTTTCCATTGATAAACTACCTAAAAAAGGGTAACGAGCCTTAGGGTGGAATGTTCCCAACTATTTTTTTAGATCAAACCACAAAAAATACATTAAACGTTCGAACATTCGAACAGGAATTCAGGGGAAACAAGAGGGAAATATTCAGGATGACAAACTTTCTGTTTAACGCGTTTTCTTCCGAAGAAAATGGAAAAATGCAGATTACTCTTGAATAGTAAGGAGACAATTCCAGCTAAATCAGATAGTTCTAAAAACATCTTGATTACATTATCACTTTATTTAATACAATCAAAATAAAATGCTATCTTCCTTTTCCAAATGTACACTGCGTGTTTATTAATGGCACATATATGTTTCATTGTAAAAAAGGAAGCGAAAGGCTAAGATATTGTTTGAAACACGGAATACTTAAAAATGATATCAACAATTACTATTGCCTGAAACTTAATCTCTATCTACAGAAGGGATTGGTTATAAATTCAGACAAACATAAAAAAAGGTCAGGTAATATTTGACAAGAAAACATAAACCAGATTCTAAATACAAATAAGAATAACGATTTATAGACTGAATCATAATTTTATAAAACTATTTATTTGCACAGACCTAATTTAATCTCTTACCTTTATGTCATTTCGTTATACACATAGATACACAACATATAATTATAGTATTTATATAATAGTACCTATACACTATTATAAGTTATGAATGAATGTACTTTTACATATAATAAAAACATTGTAATATGAGGAAGTATATTTATTTAATGCATAGAACTTACATATGTTATTTTAACATCAATTAATAAATGGTATTTTACTAACTATTGTGTTTGTACATTATCATATAGATAAGTTATAATTATTAATTTTGTTCCAATCTTGTTTGCTCCAAATCAGATTGTACGTCATCTAGAGTTTGAATCTGTTGCCTTTTTTTATTCTTTTGTATATATAACACTAATGCTTTATTAACTTTCAAAAGAGCTCTGTATTTCTCACTTACGGACGAAACTGATTCAGATATTTCCCCTGAAATATTATGTAACAGATTGATGATTTATAGTAGCAAAAGTGTTTACAATTTGAAAGGAACTACACACATAACCTCACTTTTATTTCAAATGTAAGTAATTCGAAAACATGATGCTAAGATTGAAAATTTGCAAAACTTATACACAGAAAATATTTAACGATATATGTAACATGTTTTACCACATAATTAACTTCATTTATAAAAACTTTCACTTACTTATAGAAGATGCAATATCACAAATAGTCGATTCTTTTGTAACTCTTGAACGTTTCAATAACTGTTCCATTGTAATAAAGTTAGGACTCAATCGTTTACACCATTCTTTTTATAAAATTAAACTAAAATAATGGAGCAATACAAAAAGTGAAAAGATCCTTCACAAATGCTTAGCTGCAGCCCCAAATGGCGCGAAAAATATCCAAATCAGTCGATCACATTTGTCACAATTATGTATGGACAAGACAATGTACAGAATACTTAAATATCATGTAAATACCTTTGCACTAAATCCCTTTTCACTCAAAATCACAATAAAAGACAAAATACAATTGTAAGATATTTTGTGATAAAATTTACCATGAAGCGATATATATTACTTGTTCGATTATCTTTATACAATAAATTGCGAATATGAAAGCTTTCTTTAGTGTTTTAGATCTGAAAGATCACGAAACAATTCGTGTACTTAATGTGACATTTAAGTGATTTCTTAAAAAACTTTCGTTAAATGTTTATTTTAAGTCCATTTATGTTTTTTGTATGTGTGCAAAAAATGTTACCAGCAATTGGATATTGTTTACTTTATTTTACTGCCATCTTCTTGCTGACAATGAAACATTATACCTTTCACTCGTGGATAATAGGTGTCGCCACATATACGATATGAGCGTAAATCATTTTTTCAGAAAAATAAATTATTAATAAGTTAAATATTAATAACAACTAATGACATACCACGTACATCTATCTGCAATCATATCAAAATGTATTTAACTGCCGATTTCTCGACTTATTTTGTTTTAATCTTAAATCTTAAGAACACAATTACGAAGAATTATATGTAATTCTCAATAGCAATTTTGAGTTATTATTTTGCATTAAAAGACTATTTATTGTTGCCCGTAATTCGCGAGTTTCCAAAGAATATGAACCGAGTTGATCGACCCGGCTAAGTGAATGATAATATAATTTTGCAATTAGAGGTTCTACAACCATATTGTATGCACAAATCGGAGGTTTGCATTTCATTTATTTTTATTACGTAATTGATTTACCGTTGGTGATCGACGACGATGAGGATGAAAATTCAATATTCAGCGTTCATTGGATAGCGTTCATTGATTTTATTGAAGCTCCGCGTAATTCAATAATTCCAGCGAATCCAACGTACGATTTCCGTCGCGCGATAGAGATGACTGGTTCGATCGACGAACTCTGCGTGGATTATATTTTATCAAGATCGTGAAGATCACGCGAACAATCTACGAAAAGGAGAGTACCACGGAGAAGGACTCTGCGGGTAATGTTGCTTATCGAGTTGCATGTCCGAGTGCATACTGGACGAAACGAGAGATCTGCGGTGGGTAGACGAGAAGCGTCGTTTTTTTTTGCGCCACCCGTTATAATTACCGGGGCCTTGTCACTTTTGCCGAGGCACGGACCGCAGTGAGGTATCTCGTTGGTGCGTCGCCCGGTACGTCGTTTCGTGCGTCGCGGTCGCGTCGCCTCGACCGATCTGAAACGCGGCGGCTACCTCAAAGCGTTCGCTTCGCTTACTCAACGAACAAGCAAAGGAAGTGCAGAAGAAGTAGACGAAGAAAAACACGTGAGACTAAAGACAGAGAAAACAAAGGCAAGCTACGAACCGGTGTGTTCGAGTGACTCGCGTCACGAAATTGTCTCAGCCGGCGCACGTGAACGGCTGAATTTGCAAAGAGCAAACACGTGCGAATAACCCGTTTTCCATTACATTTCAAGCTGCTTGAAAGAGAGAAACGCTCGTCGGATATTATAGTTTCGCAATGTGAAGGATAATGTCGAGCAACGAAGAAGAACGAGGTGAAGGAAGGTTCGAAGCAAAGCTTTAGATCGATGAAAATTATGTACAAAGGCACGCACGAGACAAGTTTACTCATAGATAAAACTATACAGCTAAATGTTGAAGAGAACCGACGCGCTTTCCTTGCAATTTAATCCTATAGGATGTTGTACGAATTCAATTTTTTGTCTGGCGGTGAATGCGGCTTAATTACATTCGGTAGCGAGAAAGATTTAAAATTCAAAGAGGAACGGTAGTGGGTCCGGAAAAAACCGGTACCTCGCCTACGTATTTTACGCCACTTTCTTGCGTGTACGCACGCGTGTATCACTGTCTCGCTTCATCGCGCTCTCTCGAGTTCTCCTCAAGGACTCTCTGGAAGGCCCATGTAGCCAGTAAGAGCTTCACGATCGTAACACGGTAGCCAACACGGTGGTAGGTTTAAATCATATTAAAGCGCATCCAAGCACCGGGAACCGTAAGCCTGGATTACTGCTACAAATCGTCCCGTACAGGGAATTCCGCGTACCCAACTAATTCGATCGCCTTTCAAAGGTCCACGCTAATCACCGTCTGCATCCTTCGCTAATTTTACATTTTGCTTCTGATTTTTTACACCTACGTGGACGATGTTCGTCTAATGTTCCATTAAGCCTTCAACAGTGTAGTTACCACATACATATACATACTACCTTCTTTAGTTACAACGTATTATCTATCATTTTAAAATACTCGAGAAAACTGAAGTTTTATTATTTTCTCCATCCAATTTAAAGTACTTGGTTAGTACTCCGTAAACTTTGCTTTAGACTTGCAAAATATAACGAGGAAAATAAATTAATCTTATACAGATATTACATCTTTACGGTTGTATTTTTCATTTTAGTTCGTAATACTTCTCTAAATCGTAGACTTGGGATAAATTATTCTTAATTATAGATGTGTACGTATTTCAATCACTTTAGCACGAGATGATGCTGCAACGACTAAAGTTAACCAACCGCAATTCATTCTTCGACATATTCCGATGTAATTATTAATATTCATTTCTTCTAAAATTGCAACAAATCTTCGAGATAAAAAGATAATAAACTTCTAACTTATTCATTCTGAATTCTTCGTTATTGTAGTACAATATCTAAGGGTTGACGTACGCGTCTGTCCTATCAGCATATCGAAATACGCATTTTTAGAGTTTATTTTTTTCAACGACATCGTTCTTGCCATTCTTTACTTTCCGAACTACGATCATTAACACCGTTAGCGAGAAGCTATTAGAAGAAATATGCGTATAATCAATACTGCGATCTTTCTACCGCTATCAACAGAGCAGAACAATACGAGAGACGAACGGTGCGTGATAAAGTGTTCTCGTGGAAAGTTACGAAACAACGTGGGCAGCGACAGTAGAAAATGGCGTGGGTCGTGACGGCCTGAGACCAGGTGGAACGTGTTTATACAAGATACGACCTGATAAGACATTTCCGAAGCTCGGCAGGAAGGTACTTGCCGCAGACACGAAATGACCAATGTCCAAAACCGATCAACAGCATCAACAGCCGTAACTTAATTCTCTAACATCTTGAATAAAGAGTAGAATTCCTCTCGAAATTTCAGACATTGCATATTAAACACGAGTCGGAGCCATGGTTTTGTTTCGTAACTAGAACGTTAATCGTCACACCGGCCTCTTAAAAGTCAAACTGATCAATGTCACCTTTTATAAATTTCCCAATTTCGTTACCCAAATACACGATTAATGTTCGATACTCGAGATAAAGCATTTCCACAAGCTCGTATATCGTAAGCAAATAACATAAATAACAGTAAATTCTAAGGACAATAAATAAAGAAAGAGACATTTGTAAAATATCATCACTTTTCCTTACGTTTAAATTTATGAAGTTAGTCGATGTGATTTCTGAACTGTTCGTATAACGTAAACAGGGACCACTGATGATGAATTCAGAAAATTTGAAATATAGATAATAAATAATGATTTCGTGATATGTTTCCCTTTATTCAAATGCGCGCCATGACAATTTTATTGCTTTTTAAATAAATAATTCTGGACGAAATTAATTTAGCATAAATTATGGCAAAGATACTAAGGAAGATCCCCTTGAAATTATCAGCTGGATTGTAAGACCCGCGTGTAGTACATCGGTCACGATTTTATTGAGTCCATAAGTGTGAATAGATCTATTGAAAACTCAGGCATTCGTAGGTGACACGAAATTGGGTTAGTATTCGTAGCGAGCCATTGTGATTACATAGTTCTATTTGAAATTCAATCCGTGAATCGTGACGGAAAAAATAATATTTAGGAAATAGTAGTAATAATTCTTTACATGTCTCGAATTGTAATGCAAATTATACCGCATCTAATTTACACATGATCTTTGGAATCGTGATTTTTTAACCATAAGTAACTTCAAAAGCCTAGAGAATGCGAAAGTATGCTTGTTCGTGGCGCGATGCGGTTTGTTACGATCGAACGATTTGGAACAGATACCGATAAATCTAGATATACAAAAACGTGTTTTATTAAAAATGGTAGTCATAATTTTGTGACCCGTAGTTCAGAAAGAAATTCGGGCTAGCTTTTATTTGATAACAGCAGCAGGACCATTCGTAACCGTGCCATCAATTTTTCCTCTTACACCGCACCGTACAGATACTTCCAGCCCACTTTGCCTCCGCGTTCTCTATCTCTCCTCTACTCTCTTTTTCTCTCGCTTGTCAGAGCACCAGTAGCACTATTGTATCGCCTCTCTTTCTCCCTGCTTTTTATGTCTCTTTTGTGTTCTCTGATGCACGTTCAGCTCCCGTTGTACCGATTGAGTGTTGACCCCGCTGCGTCACGCTCGCATGCTGCAGTTTGTTCGAAACGATATGCAATCAGCGGCAGAAACGAGAACGAATTTCGAGCGCGTCTAAACTCGTGGCTATGGTCACATTACAACATATCAATGGTAATTCGCGAAATCGTAACTTTTAACCTGTTAATCGAGAGAGACGAGTTAATTGGCCATTCGAAATTCCCAAACGATTGGATATAATAATTTATGCGCATTTGTGAATTATTAATTCCTAGATTTTTATTTCCTGATTTTACATCTTTTAACGACCTGCTTCGTTTCTACTGGAAATAAGTTGTATCGTGTTTATATCTGGAAGAATTAAGATCGATATCCGAAATTGTTTTTTTTTGTGTTAACTTTTAATTTCACTATTATGCTGGTCATAGAATGACTCGTCAACAGATTAATATCCCTTACGAAGGATAAAAGAAAAAGGAGGGAGTAAGGGAAAGAAATAAAGGAGAACGAGACAAGTAGAAGATTCGTATCGTAAGGCAAGAAAGAAATCATACGTCTATACGGGTCGAGGCTCGAGATAGATGATTGTCCATGAAACAATGCCGGCGATAGATAACCGTTTCTACGTACAGGATTGTATTTTTAGTCACGCGACTGCACACTTCTCTAACATGAGTCGTATACATAATATGTGCGTGCAAGGATGACCACGCGTGATGGCTTCTAAATTACACGAACCACTTTTCTCTGATCCACGGAGAACAGCCAGAATGCTGCGTCTCCTATCCAACGAGAACAACACCGTGATATTTCACGAATTTTATTAGAAACTTCATTCATCATAGTACAGCCGTGTGTTATTTACGTAGGCAATCAGTGGCAAGTATCAGTTTCGGAGCGTAAATTGACTACAAAATTGGGAACGTAATTTATGCTGCGAACGTATCACGAGAGATTTTTGATCCGCACGCGATATAGAAGCGCCTATACGGAATCGAGAACAACGTAAAAAGACGAAGAACGAAGGAGACCTTGATCGAGATCGACGTCGTATTTGCCATTATTGCACGAATTTTTTTCTGTTCGCGAAATGAATGCGCTCGAGAAATCAGGCAAAAGCAGATGTACACTGCTTGCTATAAATATCAGAATATTTAGCCTACACGTTAGATTTGCTGGACAGCTCGAACAAGTTCTACTTTATTTAATATTTTACGTTGCGGAGCACACATGATGCGAATTACTATTACTAATTCTACTATTACTAATAATAATACTATTACTAATTCGCGTCGTACTAAGTATCAGCGCTGTCCTTCGTAACTTAAAGTAGCCTAATATTTGTTCGTTTATCGGGACACGTTGAAATATTTGCCCGTGTTTTTTATGTTTCATTCAAAGTTATACCGTAAAGGTTGTTACAAAGTAATGACTAAATATTTCAAGCTGAATGGAGAAAAAAGAAACAAAGATGGCAGAAGGAACGACGGAACTTTAGTCTTTTCAAATGTTTTGGAATGGTAAATAGGAGACTTTAACTATAGAGAACACAGTAGACGTCCCAAAATACTTATAGCCGATAGTGTACATACCTTCGATTGAAAATAAACTATAAACTACGATACGGTCAAGGTATACGCGATAAACAACGAGAAGAAAAACGTAGCCGCAATCATATTTTCAATTCAGACTTCAATAGAGGAAAATGCGATCATTGGAACAAGTTATTCGCATATCTTCGTTCTTTTTTTTCTTCTCATGTACAGATGGAATTATAATAACCGACATTACCTTCGAGAACCGAGTACGTACTTATTTACTCTACAACACGGTAAGACGTCGACACTAATATTTCATTTATGTTCCCTTTTTTTCAAGCACGGAATCCTCATGAAGGTTAACGCTTGTAAAAAGGGGCAAGAAGTAGCCTCCTTGGTTGCGCAAAAATTCACAAAAACGGGACAGAATAAAGGAAGTTTCTCGTTCGTGGAACTGTAATAACCCAAAAGACATAATCACTTACTTATTTGAATTCCGAATATCCGGAATTATATTCGATCATTCTCAGAAAGATATTTTATAAATGCTGTATTGTATCCATATATGTGCATAGTGTTTCGTGAAAGTCTACCAACATTTCTAGGAACATTTCTAGAAACGTACGTATCATGTGTGTAACTGTAACGGTATAAAAATATAATCACTCGTGTCCCAATACAGCGTTAACGAAATTTCGAAAACTTTCGTACAACGCACGCAACGTATTCGTAAAAATGTCCTCTCATAAATATTCCAACATTTTCACGAGCTACTGCTGTCGCAATATAGCTACCTACATTATGCTATAATACAGCGATTCTGCTGATCCCAGTAATGAATGGTTCCGCTCGAGAAGCCTCGAGCCGGAAGGTTATCGTTTATTGAAAGTTTCGTTGGCAATAGCGGAAGATGGGTCGCTTCTGTGTTACGTGCCGGCACCAACGACGTTTCATACAGTTTGATAGAATTACGAATACGTTCTCCTTAAAGCGCATTCGCGTAGAATCTAGCCGACAGAAACCACAGTGAGTTGGCGACACGTTCGATAAATGGCCCCTCGCCAACATTCCGACTGTTCCTTTTTCCGTCGGTGCTCTTTCACGACGCTATCTACGAGTCTATCCAGCACCTTAAGTATATACAACTTCATCGAGGCAGGTTCGCACGAGGCGAGTTCGCACGAGCCGACATTGATATTAAAAGGGCGGTTTCGCGGTAAGTGGCTACGGCGAAGCGTAACGGCTCGTCGATTAAGTTCTTCCTCGTATCTGCCCGCTTTACACGACGCTTTATGCTGATAGAGTTGCGTGAAAAAGGCGATTAAGGGCACCCGAATCACCGTGCGAATTTACGAGATCGTCACACGAGAACAGGGTAATATAGCGATAACAATTTTCTGTAATTTCTACCGATTAGTAATTAGCAAGTAGAGAGATTCGTTACTTTATCTGGCTCTTTGTCGCAAGATAATCGACACGGGATCTATTCTCTCCCCTGTTTTAGATTTCACTGAACATCGTGAGCGAAGATCGCGGCAGAAAAACACCGCAAGTACATTTTCGGTGGTCTTTTTTATTTCAATGGCACTTTACCATTGTATACGAAGGAATTTTAACACAACTTCGCTGAAAATGAAAATAACCTGTTAGGTTCAAGGATGTATCTCTTTTAAGAATGGCTGATAAGCGGATGAAGTTTCATGAGAGTCAGAGCTATAATCGCGAAGGCGAGCGATATTTTGAAAATTTTTAAGAGGATGACAAACTCACATCTGCCTGTAAAAATAGAAAGACAATTTTGGTAATATGAAATGTACGATAACGCATGAACTTTTTCAATTGTCCCAAATTTATGGAACGTGTGAACAATTTTCTGACTGGTCGTAGCTACTCTCGTAAGAATTCATATATTCGATCGCATCAAAGTATTCCTCGGAACATTAATTCACCAGAAGGTGTATTCACTGTAACCTATAGTCTTAGCCGGTGTAAAGACAATCTCCTTGCGCCCGGTTGATATATACTGAAATCGCTCCATTAAATATTTATACACGGGCGAGGAACAGGGCGAGAAGAGATGCAAATTACAGCATACGAATGCATTGCCTCCGTACACTTGGCCCCATCGAAACGAGAAAGAACACAAGTGGCGTTGCTCGGCAAACCGTGTCGAAATCAATTCATCCGTCCCATTTAGATCGCGATTCTTATTAAAACCACTTAATTTCGTGCCGATCTTCGAAGCGTTTACAAGTCTAAGTGACGCATATACTACATAATAGGCTGGCCGAATAATTTCCATATGAGAGACGCGTCTCGAAACGGACGACTACGGTCCCAGAAATCTTTCTCCAATGTCAAATCTATCGACAAAAGGAGGAGAAGGAACGTTCTCTCGAGAATGATCCAAGACCCAAGAGATCGAGAGTTTTGTGGATCCGCATCCGAGGGTCGAATTCGATCCTCGCATCTCGCGTGTCCAGACACGCTTCGCTGTCTCTCCTCTCTCGCATCTCTAGATCTCTTCCTCCCTCTCGCACCGATCATCCTCTCTCTCTTTTTTTCGCCTGTTGCCTCTTCTTCTTGCCCGCGCACACTGACTCACTTACTCGGTGAAAACAAAAGGAGCAACTAGTGTGGGCAGAAAACGAGAGAGAAAAAGAGAAAGAAAGGGTTTGGAGGAAGGCGAGCGATAGCAGAAACGAAAGGATGGAAGGACCGGAGGAAAAAAGAAAGAAAGGTCCCTTCTCCTTCCCCTATGTTTCTGTCCTCCTCTCTTCCGCGGTTCCAAAGGAATCGTTCGTCAGCGGTGCGTTCAAGGAAGGGACGAAGACGCCGAATATCCGTAGATAGCGGGATAGAGGGTGGAACGGAGAAGGAGAGAACGAGGGAAAAAGAAGAAGGAAAGAGAAGCGCAACAAAAGTAGCCGTGATGCCGTGCAAAGCGAGCAAACCAAACGGACAGCCGCGGAGGAAAAAGATGAAAAGAGCGGCCCTTCGCGGCAACGCGGAACGAAGAGGGGAGGAAGAAGAAGAAGAAGAAGAAGACGACGACGAAGAAGAAGAAGAAGAAGAAGAAGAGACCGGCTAAACGAACGAGGGGACCTCAGGGATGTAAGGTGGAAACTTTCGTGCCTCGTACGATTAGATGGATCGCTTGATCGAAACTACGAGAACATCCTGTAATTGTTACCAAATTTCGAATATCAACAGATCTAATAAATATTGGAGTTATAAGATTTGTGTGTAGATAGGATATCTATAAGATTGATGGATAATTTATGTGCGAAAAAATTGTTCATGCTGACAGAGAAAAAAATAGGAAGATCGTCGAATCAACTTTATCTGTAAGATTCTATGTATATTTGTTTTTACACCTGATGCGAACGAGCGTCAAGCTGGCCAGAAAAAGGCAAGGGTTACGCAACGCGGTGAACCATTTGTATTCTTAGATAGAAAAATAGATAAACCGCGTGCCTCGTTTTGTATCTACAACCAGTCGCACAACCGCAATACCTCGAGCGCCTTCCTAGTAACACGTTCAATCAGCTGGCCGATGTTGTTCAAGGCTGACCTTTCTCCCGAGGAAAACTCAGTTACTCCGACCAATTAACCCACTCTTAAGTCGTAAACCTAACCCACGATGGTGGCCGAAGGCGGACACGAGATCGCTGAAAAATTCAATTCACCGGACGCTGCTGATAGAGCAGAACAAGAGAACGCAACGAAGCGAAAAAGCGCAAGTATCTCGATCGGTGAAGCGAAGTTCGAAGCGCGAGGAGTCGATGAACCGAAACAAACGAAAACGCGTCTCTTCGCGGCCGATACTCGGTCGCTACGTCCCTGGGCCATGGTAGAGGAGATAAAGGAGGTGAAAGTGGAAAGAAGAGAGGAAGAAAAAAGGCAGAGCTGGCAAAAGGGGCAAAACCACGCGCACTCTCGGCCTCTCTTCTTTCCTCCTCCGCTTCGTTCTCCTCCTTCTTCGTCCTCCTCTCTACCATATAGAGTGTGTGTAGTAAGGTACAGTACGGCAAGATATAGTGCCACGGCGTGCGCATTCGACTTTTCAGCGTATAGCCGCACGTGTGTCGAGAAGCATAACGTGCACCGGTTCTTCCTGTGTGCGGCTATGTACCTGCGTGTGTACCACTTTGGCATCATCCTGTTCGGTTCAGCCACGGCCAGGTACACACTGGCGAGCCAGCCCGATAATCGCCCGATGTCAAGGTCCTTCTCTTCGTTCCCCGGTAGCCGAAACTTCTTCTTCGACCAACACAAAAACGATTCCCGTATTCGTCGATCCGCGCCAATTACAAACGCGCGACCTATGTTCGTTTCGTCGAACGTTCGTGTTAATCGAACATCGCTCGCCACTACCCGCGGTTACTCTTTTACTCTGTACGCGGCGTTAATCTTTCTAACCGGCACGATCTGCGGCTTAATTGCTTCGCTAATTATATTATCAGCGTCCGGCTACCACTAAACGACTGACAAATTTCCATTGGAAACGAATACGATCGAATATATCGACGGATTAACACGAAAAACGAAGACGAAAGAGACAAAATCAGAAAGAAATAAGAAACGAACTTTCGCGAAGTAAAATCAATTTCTTACGCTATTCGCGATATTAATACGAAGCACGTCGATCGCCAGCATCATTCGCCTATCAAAACTGGTTGATTTAAATTGCCTAATTGTAAGTTCCTCCAGTTCGTCGTCCCGTTCATCTGGGTGGAGTCGATGGCGGTTGTATTCCCCGCGGTAGCCGGTGCGCGTAATAGCATTCGGAAGGAAGACAGGAGCAAAACGAACGGTGAAACGAGAAAAAGGAGAATACCGAGGATACAAGAAAGAGAGAGAGAAAGAGAAAGAAGCGGATCAAGGGGGAAGAAAAAAAGAGATCAAAGAGGTGTATCGAAGAGGACGAGAGGCTTACAAGAGGTATACATCAGAACAGATTAAAATCGTCGAATCTTCCTCCATTTATGGCCTCGCCCATTGGAACTGCAACCACCTTTACAACTACGTTGATCGCCATACGATTTCCTTCCAACTTTCTTTTTTTTTTTTTCTTAACACCAACAAAAGTACATTCTGCTCTCGAAGTGTAATTCGTCTAATTTCAAATTACAAGTTTTAACAATTTTTGGAATTTATACGCAAACGAATATACGTTTTGAACGAAAGTTCGAAAATCGAAAACTTAAACTATAGTCTCTTAAATTACAGACCAATAATTGTTGGGGTTCGTACGAGAACGAATATACATACGTATCAAGGTTGGAGGATCGCGGGCTTAAATTCAATCGGCAACTTTCTGTCAAAGAATTTGCATTGTAACGTGTTGCATCTCTTATCGATCCTCGGTCTCGTCGCATTTAGATGTTCACATTCGCTCGCGGTATATCGAGATTCTGGCCCATGGTCATCGCCATTCTTTGTTTGGCGCCATACACACCAACTTGCACGACTCTCTAACGATCGCGATTTCGACCGTTAAGTAAGTTCGCATTGTTCGATCGGCTTTACCGAAGGACGATGGCGCTTAGCTTCTTCCAGTTCCGAATTCGACGGGAAAATTTCGTGAACTGTAAATTGGCTCGCGAAATCACTGAACCACGGCCTGCTCGTTTCGATGTACCGAGCCCCGAAAGAATT